ATAAATATGCATAGACTCTCCTCTAAGTAATAGTACAGATAATTTAGATACAAGGATAATCACAGAGTTGACAAAAAGCAATCTTGTTTAACTACGACATTTATATATATATATATATATAAGTTACAAATTGTGTAGTTATTTCATAATTTGGTTTATATAATTAAAAAGTATCAGTAGAGTGTATTTGAAATCTTTGGAAAGGCTAGTTTCAATATGTATCACGTATGTTGGTGACCAATTTGGAGGCAAAAAAATTAGCTACGTTTTTTATAAAGACGTAGCAGGTATTGAAGATGTATACTGTAATCTATTAAATATATTCAAGTATTTTTTATGAAGGTTTTCGAATGTGGTGAACAAAATAGATACCTCCCGTGGGTTTTCAGCGAAATAACGTATCGCCGATGAATAGAATGAACAAAAGAAGGCCAAGAAGACATTTCTGCTTTTCATCTTTGTTTGTTGGGAACCATTCAGAGATATTTCTTCCATACCAGGTAACCGTTTTGTTGCTATTACATAAGCTTTGCAATATACTAAGTGCAATATAGCTTAGTTGAAATGTGTATAGTACTTAGTTTGTAGAGTAAGCCACTTTCATCCATTGTCAGATTGATTTTCACTTTAAAGCTTCGAATTTGTGGAGGCACGTAAAATAATTGACTTAAAGATTTTTTTTTTAGAATAGGTAGTATTAATATAAATATAGTATAAATATAGTATTAGAGCCATCCATAGGAAAGCACCTAGTTTTAAATATTATAAACGATGACTTTTCGTAGAACAGCCTGATGCAGTAATTTGCTTTGTTTTTCCGATGATAGAAGTAGAAGAATTAGAGATGCAAATTACATAGCTTGAAGTACGTAATAAAAAAAACTCGAATCAAAGCGGGAAATGCGTTTAGGAGAATAAGCTTATCGGAAGTATTTGTAGATAAATTAATTCAAGCATATATATATATTACTTCTTATGCTTTTTTATTTTATTATTTTCTTTAATAGAAGGTAATAATATTACCAACTTCTTTCTTTCTTATATACATACTTTATATTGAAGGTTTTTTTTATCGTTAATTTTTAACATACCCCTTTCTTTCGCCTAAAAATCCATTACACAAAATTGTTTTTTACATTTCTTCAACTAAGTAATCATATCACACATTTAAGCTGAATAGATCCAGTGTATTAATAGAAAGACCCAGTGTATTTTTGCCCAATGTTTTTTATCGTTAATTTACGATTTTACTCTATTTTTCTATTCCATATCATATAATTTGAAAATAGTTTATTTGTTAAAAAAATATTAACCTATTGAAAAATATTAATTCGATATAAAAATGATATAGCTTATATTTATAGCTTCATATAGAGACTAAGTATCATAAATAGAAGGTTAATCGATATGGGGTATAAATACCCCATAGAAAAACATACTTTCAGTATTTCCAATTTTGTTTTGCGTAAGCACTTTATCCGAGCTACAACAAACATTTTTTAAAAAATTAGCCAAATGGGTTCAACCATATTTATCCTACAGCAATTCATTTTTATTTACCATATATAGATTTTTTTTATATAAAATTTTATGATAATATTAAACTTGTCTGTTATTAATTTTGGTAATTTTTTACTTACTACATTACACTCAGATTAAAAACCCTTCCCTAAGGTTAATACCATAAGTATAACTGCCTCAATTCTACCATTATGTAAATTAAAAACATCAAATTCCTCTTCATTATTTATGTTGGAGTCCAAAATAAACGGGTCTTTTTTAAAGTAGGTATTTGTAATAATCTTTATTACTTATATTATATTATATTTATATATCTTTATTAAATAAAGCAATCTATAGCCTTTACTAGTGTGCTGCCTTTACTATGACAGTTTGTTTGAGTTTTATAACACTCTCAAAACACACAGGAAGTCCAGAAATGACATACATAGATCTGTTTTCTAGACCCAAAAAGTTCTTTTTCGTATTCACATGGGAATATGCATGCTTCAATGTTTTAAATAAAATTTGTACTGATTTCAAAAAAATGTTTCGATTGGCAAGAACTTTAATTTTCAGACATTCCGAGTGATAGTTAATAAAAATCTAAAAAAATAACAAGCGCGTTAGTATAATATTTTGTAGGTCAAACTGCTTGACCAAGCGCCTTTTTTGATCTATCGGTAGTGACGTTAGAGTATATAGGGTTTAAACCACATAATTACGTTTTTGGTAAGTAATTTTTATGAGGATTTAATAGATTCTTTATGCTCGCTCCTAAACTTACCGTTAGTTATTTTTGCCCTTAATAAAGAGAATGAAGAATGAAGAACGTGTTTTATTGATTAGATTTTATGAGACAAGTTAATATGCAAAATACTGGTAAGCTCCATATTTTTGAGATAATGGAATCATTTTGTTCACTTTGGATTTCGGCCGACCAATTTAGTAGATAGATAAAATTGAAGCGCCTAAAACTCGCCCTTTCACATATTTGTAAATATGTGAGTTAAATAGACATCACGTCAAAATATCTGAATAGTAAATAGTAAATAATTAATCAATAGTAAATAATTAACAAATTCGAATTCGAGTTACAACTACTATATAAGTGTGAAGAGTACGAAATCCTGGTTGAGAGCCAACTTATTTATTATTGAAAAATATTTTTTTTTTATGTTCCCACACCGAATTCCATTTAAAATGTTTTAAATTGATTTTAATTGTCCTTACTCAATTTCAAGCCAATTATTTTAAAAGCATATTTTTGTTGCTAACAATGGAACAAGCCCGCCATAGACTGTATTCGGTTTGGGTTCGAATTTGAGGCCGGATGGAATTTCTTTAAAAGACATATTTGCGTTTTATTTGTTTTTTGTTTACATTTCGCTTATCCTTAGGGAACAAAACGGGAAAGATTGCAGTGCGACGGTTTAATAGTGAAGAAGCCACAATCCGCAATAAGAAACTGCGGGGAAAGAAGAACATGTTTAAAAGTTTGGTGGATGAATTATGATATTCGGGGAAGATTTATGAATAACAAAAGCATCTTAAGTTGTTTTTATTGGTAAATGTCTACTTATGCATCCTGCTTCCGTCGTCAAACACCACCATAACATTTGATACGTTAGTGCAAGTAGAGGAGTGCAAGAGTGAAAAATTATTAAAAAGAATCTGTCAACTGTTAAGATGCGATATAAGTTATAACTTTGCTGTAATTAGCTTGGGTTACAATTTTTACACAATATATTTTTATGAATTTGTTAAAACGCACTTTGAAGCAAAAATATTAGATGAGTTATTTATGAGTTATGAGTTGTCAGTTGAGTTTTACAACCCGTAACGAGTTTTACTTATTCCTTAGATAGTGTACAATTTAGATAGTTGGTAGTGCAAAGATCATTTGATTTAAATAATACAAAATCCAAAATAATACATTTTCGAAATATATAATAAAAATGATTGTGTTTGAGTAAATACAATTAACGTTAAAGAGGTTTTAAACACATATAAATAAATAAGTTGTTATTATTCATTCATATTATTCATTATTATTCATATTGTTATTCACTGCTAGACAACCGCAGCAAAGACCAAAAGTTTCAATCCGGTCGGACCTTGCTATCTGCTGTCTTCTATACGTTATTCATTATTACAACAATTCATCAATTTGTTATCCTAAGATAAGGTATATTTTGGGCAATTGAGTTTGTTGCGATTGAATCTGAACTCGAGTTCTCAGTTTCGAGAAACTCGAGTACAAAAACAAAATCCTGTTTTTCTTAATTAGTTCTATTTGTAAAAAATTGAATTTTAAATTTAATCACTCCCGTTAAAATATTTAAACTATTATTTAAATATAGACAGATTGAAGAAAATAACATTTTTGTTAGAATAAAGAACTACGATTACGAGAATGCGAGTATTTATGTACGATTCATCTTGAAACTGTGTTCATCTTAAACTCTGAAAACTAAATATCAGTAAAATTGTCGTTAATGTAAAAAGAACAAATTAAGAAGTTTCATTTCGTGCCTTAAATTATGGAAATAAATGATATATATTAAAGATTGGAATTTGTTGACTGCTTTAAAGACAACGTATTCACAGTTGAGCAATTAACATTTTAGTCTACATGTGCGAAAATGATTGACGAAACTTGTGTAAGATGAACATTTGCAACCAAATCGGAAGTCGATTTTTTGCTACATTTCAGCTTTTATCGAACGGATCCAATGAATGGAATGAAAATTAATATCCTGGAAAACATTCTGGTGCCCGTGCTGCAAGCCGCGAAAGCTGTAACTTCAGTAATTTCGCTGACGAATGAATAATAGACAAAAACACGGCAAAAAATTCAATGAACGACATTTTTTGTTGATTTTTTGCTTTTACGCCCAATTGACGATTGCCCCCACATCTACAACCTCACAGTACTTAAAGATGAAATTATGCCCCGCGGTTAGTAGCGCGCCTGTCAGTAAATGATTTATGAAATTGTTTTTAGATCTTTATCTTTAATTTGGCGCAGCTCAGTGATTTTGTCTCTTAAAGGATAATTTTTTCTGGATTTTGCTTTATTACTGTATTACTTAAAACACCATAATAAAAAATCACTCATATTTTTAGAATTTCATTAACTTTGATAAAAAGGGGATTTTAAATTTTTTGCTATTTCTCCCAGAAATTGCTGAATGAATGATTACTCCGCCACGGGGTAGTCATTTGCACATTGGTCTTGATGGATTTCAATAAATGCGCGACACCTGCTCCTTTTGTATGTTAGCACTTCAACGTTATCGAAGTTGATACGTTTAATTTCTTTGCGATTATATTCCTAGTTTATAACTTAATAAATTCGAGCTGCGTCACTAATCTATCAGTTTACTAAACCAAATATTCTAGTTTTATTATTATCAAGAAAATTTTTTTCAATTAATGTAGATCTGTTCTGAGAACTGCAAGTTCAATTTGATTTTTTTTAATTTTATTATCTGTAGTTATAAATTAAAATAATATAAATATAATTACATGAATTTAATCAATTTGTGCAACGGTGGACCCATCCGGACTTGTACATCGGCTACTATTGACGTCAGTGCGATATTTGATGGTGTCAATTATTTCAACATCAATATCTCGTTCTCTATTGTTGACATTTTCATTACAATTCTCGACAGAATTGCGTCCATCAGAATCAGCATCGCAATCAGCATCTGACTTATTGTCAATATCAAATGTACAGCCTGTGTTCTGTTCAGCAGCAATAAGATCGCGCGCTGCAAATTGATATAATCGAGGCAAATGCTGTAGCATGTAACTGGTACTGCTTTTTGTGACTGGATGATTTTCTTTAGTTTCACCTAAGTCATAGTATTTCACATAATTTTCAAATTTATTGGCCACATTCGAAGTGGTCACTAAGTTAATAGCATCGGAAGGAAGAACTGTAGATTTTATATCGTTGGAACGTGGAACGGGAACAGTAAATGCAGAACCATGCCGTTGTTTATTCGGTAATGCTACCACATTCGATTCCACTCCATTCTCGTTATTAGGACTGCTGTTCTCTGTACTTGTGAGAGGTGAAACATTTTCTTTCTTTCGATCATATATATGACCAGAAACACGTAAGTCAATAAAGAAATGTAATGGATCTATGCCGTAGGGTGAGTACAAAGGTGGATACCAAACTGGAGGTGGAGGTGGTAAAACTAAATCTTGTGGTGGTAGTGAAGCAGCCGACGGTACATTATCTATGGCATTACTACCACTATTCGCACTTTCAGTTGTAGGGTTAGAACCGTTTTCTTCCAGTTCTAGTGTCTCACTGGAAGATGTTGTGATTGGAAGCTTAACATCTACATCTTTTACGGTTTCATCAAGCTTCCAACACTTATTTTGTAATTGAAAATATGACTTATTAGTCAGTTCTAACGGCTTCTCTGAATTAACTCTAGCACCATGACTTTTTAAATTGTTATGCTTTTCTTCAGTTTCTTTACGGTCACGTAATTGCTCATAATATGGTAATCTGTGCTGTGACCACGAACGTTTCCGTGGTCGACGAGATAGCACAGATTGCTGCATTTGCAAGTTACGAGCATTTTCATTATTGCGTGCCTGAACCAATGTGCGCAACATATCACTGAAGAAATAATTATTTGGACCTATTGGAGCAGAGTACAAATACGGTGGTGTAGCAGCCATTAGACGGCTTACATAATCCTGATTACGAAGATCATTGATATTCGTTTTACATGCAGAATGGCTTGTGCTCATATCCTTGGAATTTTTTTGATTTTGTTGTTGTAATTGCAACTGCTGCTGTCGCTGCTGTGATTGCTGTTGCTGCTCATCTGACATGTTAAGTTTTTACAGTTCAAGCTACACAAGAAAAGGAAACAGATAAGTTTATATTTTATGAATTTGTATTAGAATATAAAGCAAAATATAATAACGCATTCATACATCTCAACACGCACAGCAATGGTTCGAACGCCCAAAAAGTTGGCACGCAAATTGTATAGGAGTGCAGTTTATCAGGCAGGATGTTTGACTAGTAAGACAAGTTGTTTTTGATTTGAATGGGAGGAAACATGAAACTTAAGATTTATATTTTTCGCAAGGCAAAAGCGGAATCTCAGCATGTCTTCGTCGACTCACAATTTCCTTTATGTAACTGCAATCTGAGAATAAACACACTTAAATTAAAGCATATTAATGCTAAGGAAATGTATTTGTCATTAAATAACTAGTAAAGTGGAATATGAGTTAGCAGAATTAAAGCGAGCAGTGCCTTTCTGCATTACAAGAAACTGTAAAAACAATATTTTATTTATTTAATTTAAGTGAAACTGATTAAAATTCCATTTAAGTCACACAAAAGAACTTAGAATATCCCAGTTTTTACAGAACAGTTAATGAAGCTACTTGTTGTTGTTTTTGCAAGGAATAGATATAATTTTTTTATTTATTTAAAGCGATTTAAGATTAAACCCATTCGTAGATGCTTCTGTGGTGACATGATATGTAAATTGCTGTCTATAAGCTTTGGTGAATTCTGTAGCTTCGATGACAATAAAGGTTGCAATTTCTAAATTGAATGAATTAAACGTTGTTTTGGATAAGTTTTCACAAAGGTGTTTTTGCTAGTTTGTTGTTAACGAGATCCTCTATCATTTGTTTATAATATTCCTATAAGCCTGGTCACAGTTGTCCGTATCCGGTTTATAATTTAGTCTCTTGCTATTCGGAATTTTCAGGTACTTTCTATAAATGCTTTCACAACTAAAAATCCCGAATAGCAAGAGACTAAATTATAAAACGGATACGGACAACTGTGACCAGGCTTATAGGAATATTATAAACAAATGCCACAGGATATTGTACATGTTTTTTTATTATTTTTATTATCTTTTTTATTGTTGTTTTTGTTGTTATAATTATTATTGTACTTATTGTATGATTTTCTTTCTAATTTTCCCATTTTAAAAATTTTACATTGTATAATTCGTTAGGTTTCCTGAAGATGACTATCGCAGACAATCAAAATATCTGAATGATATTTTAATAAAATACAATTTCTTTCAATATAAATAAAAAATTAGCCCGTAGAAACAAATTGTTATTTATGTGCATTAAATATTTGACCCAAGAAGCTGGCCAAATTCGTTTCCGATATTTAAAAAACTGGAGAACACTATTTTAATGGTCTTTTTTATGCCATCTGTATTTTTGACGAATAAGGTGTTGGCAGTAGAAAACAAATTAAATAAGTAATTTTTGGATTAAAGCGAATAATAATTGTGAAGTTTTTAATTTTCAAAGAATTATGAAACACCAAATACTAGCTCTTTTGTCATTTAATAACTACATGAAAAGAGGATGTTTTAAAAAATTATTTTGTTTTCATCACATTTTGTAATGTTTTGCTTTTCAGTAGATGAAAGCTATCGAAAGAAACAGAACACTTAGACAGAGAAGGTATATTGAACTGTGAATCTCATTCCGATAAAGTGCAAAAACTTTTAACTTATATTAAGAAAGCGGAGAATGAATACCATAGAATCGGAGATAAGGAACTGATATTTGAGCTACTTCCGACTTTCGTACTTGGTGTACTTTAAGTGTAAGTCTTGAGACAGCAGAACAGAAACATATGATATGTTGCATAGTGATATCGTGCTACAAACAAAGTGGACATAAACTATTGTCTGAAAACCAAAATAAAAGAATATTTTACACTAGTGGAGTGACCAGTGATCGCACGAATATGTAATCTACTGTGCTTGCAACATATAATCACACGATAGCCTGTAGTCTTTCCCCTGAGTTTAGGCTTGTAAAATAAAATTTTACAAACAAAATATTATGCTTCAACATGGAAGAATAATAATAAAACAATAACAAAAGTAACAAGTATTACAAACCACCACCAAATTTAATACAATAAATAAGAACAGAACAATAATAAAAACTTATAAACAAAACGCCGTTGCATTCGCAAGAACAAACCACCAGCATACATCACACTTCTCCGGTATAAAAGGCGAAGCAAAATCGCAATCGACACAGCGACCTTACGATCAGATCGTATTCATAGTGCCGCCTAAATGCAAGGAAGAAATTTACATTTCTTCAACAAAGCAATTTTCAAGCGGGTTAGAAATCCACATTTCTAACCCAAGATCAATTATACTTCGAAGAAATTCACATTTCTTCAGCAGTCATTCTCAGGACAGTGAGCAAGGTAACGAGCTAGAAGACAGATCGCTCCAAACATAAGTGCCTAAGCATAGGAATAGAAATTTATTTCGGTTCCCATTTTTTTTTTTGTAATAGAAATACACATTCCTATTGCATATTTATTATTAACGAAATCAACATTTCGTTAGTAGCTCCGTAGAATAGAAATTTACATTGCTATTCCCATGTCTTTTATTAAGTAATAGAAAAACACATGTCTGTTGCTTATTTATTACTAACAAAATCAACATTTCGTTAGCAAATCAAGTGGTAAGGTGATAATTACACAGAGATATTATCACCCATACCAAATAAACGGCTAACGAAATAAACATTTCGTTAGTGACCATTTCCAATGTGGGGAAAATTCCCATTTGCGATCACCAATAAATCGTTCCTGCACAAACGAAATACACATTTCGTTAGTAACCGTACAGGGCGTGGTAGATATTTACATTTCTACCACGAATCCATTGATTTCACAGCAGAGAAACCTAGTTTCCAGTAGCAAAACCTCTGTCTATGGCATACGTCATACCATTGCAAACTTTCCACTGCTCCTATCAAATAAATTTATTGTAGAAGTGTACCTGGAATCCGGTTCCCAGGTTCGTTATACAGACTGAACAAAGTAGTGTCCCTGCAACCATCGTGATTTCGCAATTCATTATTTGATTCGGATTGAATACTACCACCAACCAGGTGCTGTACTAGATCTGATTTTTGTAAGTTCATCCGTAACTTAATTTCCTGATATACCGAAATCGTTAGGAACTCATTAAATTGTTAAGTCGTTGTATTTAAGGACAGAATTTATCGTGATTTTATTATTCTCGCACATCACGATTTAGTCAATTTTGAAAGTTGCAGTATTGAAATTACTGAATGGAAAATTTCAGAGATTGAAACAATCAAGAAGTTGCCACAGTAGATGTTGTTCCAGACGTCCTGTGATTTGAAATATCGTTTCGACATTTTTAACTTTAAAATCTCGTCTGTTAGTATAAAAGACTATGTTGTTTCATTCGATTAATTTTTATAAAAAGGGAAAAAAGTGGACTAATATTTTTTATATGTATGAATTATTTGCTTGCAAAAGTGACAACTTTTTAGAAGTGTTAATTTTAAATAACACAACTCAACTACGTACTGGAAAGAGCCTCCACAACATCAACTTCAGCATCAACATCAACAGTTGCACGCAACCAAAACAATGAACAAAGCCAGCAACACTTCATGTTTCCAAATTAAACAAAAGTGCCACCAACTGTTAATAAGCCACACGTGTGATGTTGAAGGAGGAGGCAGAACTTAAGTCACTCGGAGTGAGAATGTTCCAGCAAATTAAGTGAAATTTAAATTCGTCTGAATTAAAAAGTAAGACAAAGTCTACAATTCCAGTTCTGATTGCCATAAAAAAGTTGAAAAAACAAAAAGGTTTTAAATTCGTTAAATGTTGCCAATCTGTCGCAGTTGAAATTTTGCTCTTTCATTTTCCCATTAAAATGCAAACAAAAAGTATAAAAATGTTTATTGTTTTTTCATTTCATTGTAAAAATAAAGTTTGGTCGTTGGAAAAATTTGAAAATTCGCCCACTTCCGTTTCCTACAACAAAAAGCTAAAAAAAGCTAAAAAAAACAAAAAAAACAAAAAACACCTACAGTCGCTGAAAAGTGAATGTTTGGGGACACATTTTAATTCAAAAAATGTTTTGGAAACCACAAAGATTGCTGCGCATCAAACATGTAATGGAATTATGCTAATTAGGAAGCGGTAATCCGATGCGCGGGGTGTTCCAACTAGCATATCGTTGTCTTTTGTCGTTCGACACGTCCTCTTATTACATTTTCCGCTATTCTAATAACAAATTTATGCGTTATTATTTGCAGTTTCGCTATTTATGACAGATTACTCCAATTGTCCTGGCAGGAGTGGCTCAGTTGCTACATGAAAATGCTAGCGATGGCTCTAATGATTCTAAATCATTTTGGATTTTGAAATTCATTTTTGTAGGAAGTGGAAAGTGGGGTGGGAAGTGGAAAGTGTGTATTTTGGTAAAAAAAAAACAGAAATTCCCTTAGCAAAGTTTTTCGTTGGATATTTTAATGTCATTTTTAAAATTGCTACCAGATACTATTAAGATACATTCTGATGGTAATCAACAAACTTTATAGTGGATTTTTATAACATATTATTGTTTATTAAGTAGATTTCGTTTCATTTAAAATTTCATAGAAATTTAAGTCTGCACTTGAACTAGAACACTAGTTCGATTCCTGGTACTTGCAGTCTCAGTTTCGTTACACAAAGAAGTCTATTATCTTCAAAACTTGCCTATTGAGGTATGGTACAACTACACCTTGTTTACCGCACGCCCTGTACAGCGACAAACTCGCTTAACGTCCCAGCCGTATTTATGACCATGTTTCGCTTAGCAGTAAAAACACCCCGTTTAACGGCCAAGAAAAATTATACAATTTATTTATAATATTATTTTGCTTATGTATGGTATATGTGAGTTGCTTCAGAGTAAATAATTAGTGTGCAGACAAAATGTATTTCAAAAAAGTCAACATTTTAGAAATGCATTGTGTTTTTAATGCTCGCAAGTTTCTAAAAGTTATATACACATATCCTAGTAACTCAGTACGAAATTGAAAATAGAATATTATCGATATCGGTATATGTTTACATTCGTGTTTAACATGATTTAAGAATAATTATATTGAGAACAAATTATATTGAGGAGCCATATCAGGATGTGCTGGAGGAGCCATCCTGATATGGCTGATTTCCTCAATATGGATGATTTCCTCAATATGGTTTTATTGAGGAAATCATAAAGCTATTTCTATAGATATTAAATTTCATAGATTTCTTCTGTTATGGACTTAGCAAAACCTACTGTATTTTCAAAGTTTCAAAGGAATGTTTAATCTTATTGATAGCT